CGTCGTCGCTCACTGTCGCGCCTCCCCCTCTGTCAGACTACCTTTGTGCGGCTCGTCCTCTTGTTCCCTGGCTCCTTGCCTCCCTTGTTATCGATCCGTCTGTTCCTGTCTCCAGTCTGGATGCTCTTGTCGCTGCTGTCGCTGACTTCGCCTCTACCCGCCGCCTTGACTACGCCACTGCTCTGGTCTCTGACCCTGTCTGCCCTCCGTCCGTCGGGGGTGCTTCTGCCCTTGGCAGTGACGTCCTAGAGGACAGACAGTACGAGCTTGCTTTCCTGTATGAGGCTGCTCCCCATCTCTCCTCCATGTTGCTAGTCCCTGAGGATGACCCCGACGCCTTTGACATCCCGACCCGTCGCACCTATGCTGAGGCAACCTCGGGCCCCTAGGACTCTCAGTGGATAGCTGCCATGGAGTAGGAGATGGCATCTTGGAGGGCTACCAGCACCTACGTCGACGCAGATCCCCCACATGGGGTGAACGTAACCGATGGCCGATGGCTCTTCAAGGTAAAGCGCCCCCTCGGAGAGCCGCCTGTGTTCAAGGCGCACTACGTCGCTAGAGGCTTCAGTCAGCGCGAGGGGGTGGACTTCTTTCAGACCTTCGCCCTGTCCCCGAAGATGACTACTCTTCGAGCACTGCTACACGTAGCAGCACAGCATGACTACGAGCTTCACTCCCTCGACTTCTCCACTACTTTCCTTCAGGGCAGCCTACACGAGCAGGTCTTCCTACGCCGCCCTCAGGGCTTCACCGGCTTTTTCCCTACTAGGACACAGTGGCTCCTCCGGCGCGCTGTCTACGGCTTGCGACAGGCGTCCCGTGAGTAGCACGACACGCTGCGTGCCACGCTAGCTGACCTGGAATTCTTTCCGTCCTCTGCAGACCCTTCGCTCTTCGTTCGTGCTGGCCAGACTCTGTTCTATATCCTTGTCTACGTAGACGACCTGGTCTTCGCTACTGCAGACAGAGACGCATTGGCCTCCGTGAAGGCTTGGCTGCTGAGGAGACACACTTCCACTGACCTTTGAGAGTTGTGCCGCTACCTTGGCCTGCAGATCTCTAGGGACAGAGCACCGCGCACCATCACTCTTACACAGTCACACTTGGTGTGCCAGGTCCTTCAGAGGTTCAGTCTTCAGTTCTCCTCTGCTCAGCCCACACCTCTGCCAGTAGACCACACGCTCTCAGCTCCAGTTCGTGAGGAGTCAGCAGAGCCCAGTGGTCCTTACGCAGAGCTGGTGGGTTGCCTCATGTACCTGATGACTTGCACTCGTCTAGATCTCGCATACCCTCTCAGCATCCCAGCCCGCTTTGTGGCCACAGGCAGACACCGACCACAGCACTGGTTGGCCGCTAAGAAGGTCTTGCGTTATCTTGCGAGTACATTGGGCATGGGGCTATTGCTGGGAGGACGTAGGCCAGTGGTCCTTACTGGGCACATAGATGCTTCTTGGGCAGATGACGCTGAGATCCTCGGGTCCTCCCAGGGCTACTGCTTTAGCCTTGGTTCAGGTGCCATCTCGTGGAGGTCCACTCGCTCCTCATCTGTTGCCCAGTCTAGCTGTGAGGCTGAGATCTATGACGGTGCCATGGCGGCACAGGAGCTCTGCTAGCTGACCTTCTTGCTCGCCGACTTGGGTGAGCGGCCTAGCTCTGCCCCGGTTCTGTACGCTGACAACAGGGTCATGATCCTCCTATGTCAGGAGCCTCGACTTGAGGGCAGAGCGAAGCACATCCAGCTGCGGTACTTCCTCCTGCGCGAGCTCCAGCAGCGTCGCCAGGCCCGCGTAGTACACTTGTCCTCAAAGGGGATTACTGGGGAGGACGATGACGGCCGCTAGTGGGATGAGGTCGCTAATGAAGAGGATGTGGAGATCTGGCATGCTGGGGATCCTGAGGAGGAGGATGCTGATGCCGAAGACTGTGATGGTGATGCTACGGATACTGAAGCCAACGACTAGCCACAAGATGGGAGGAAGCAGCACGATTTGCCCAAGACGCTGTAGCAGGGGATGCAGAGGGAGAATGTGCCGTTGCGCAACGTGTGTAGGAGAAGGTGCAGAAACATTTGGACTAGCATCTGTAGAACCTCATCATGCAATATGAGAATCTGCAGTAGTAGGACTTTGTTCTGTAAGCAGTACTCTATGGGATTCGTAGGATATCTAACGTCTGATGTTCATAGCTTTGTTTATTGACTAGAAATAACATTTTATGAAGCAGTGGGGTGTTCAAATGTTTGCAATTGCCGAAGGCGGGTGTTATCAATATCCACTTTAATAATACACCCATGTCCGCTCAAACTACCCATGGGAGTTTAATTTTGCGGGGTGTTGTATACGGGGGAATACGGTATGTCTTCCAGACTGGCCTCGTGGCTTTTCTTCCAGTGGTCGGACTAGTAGAGCCGCCCTAGTTTGCTCGTCTTGCTTGTACCCTTGCTGACTGGTTTTGGACTAGTAGTGCCACTCTGAGCTGCGTGTTTCTTGCTCAGCACTACCCCTTTTCTAGCCTAGGGGGTGTGTCAACTTATACATATATTGTTATCATCTTTTCTATGCTTGGAATTAGGTCAATGTGACTGTAACGTGACTTAAACACCCAAGTGACGTTTTATGCGCGGAATTGGGTCAATGTGATAATAAAGCAATACACATGATCCCGCTTACAGACATCCGCGCTTGTCGAACAATCACGGTTAAGGACCCATTGCCGTATACACCCTGCTCTTATCCCCTAGTGTATGTGCACAATCGCTGTTCAACATGAAACGACCCACAAGAGTTTACTGTACAAGATAGCGCAAAGATTCCGCGGAAACCAATAGGATTCGTCCAGTAGATTACGTTAGCGAAAAACAACAGCCTAGCGAAGTCACTAGAAGGCTTATCGTCAGCCAACGAGCTGACAACACGCCACGTAGACACGGAAGTTTCTAGCATGAACAGATTCCTATGTTCGAATGAATGAAGTGCAAGAACACGTCAGCGTTTGCCAGCGCAGTTCACCGGCGTGCTCTACGAACTTCAAATGCGTGGGCATGAGCCACGTCTATCCGAACAACCTCCATTCACACACTGTTACCCCATCCAGCTCCGCTTTCGCCCAACTGACAACATGTTTGCCCCTCGCTCCCGTCGGCTGCCTCGAGGGCCCATATTTCGCTCGACATGAAGCGAGAAATTTGTCGACAGGTGGAAACCCACCAATCTTGGCGCCAAGAGGATCTCGCCCGTTGGTGTTTTACGAGGTCTGCCTTCCGTCTCCCTCCGTCTCCCTCCGTCTCACTCCGTGTCTCTCCGTTTCCTTCCGTTTCCCTCCGTCTCCCTCCCTCGCCCTCCGTCTCCCTCTCCTATCTCTCTCCCCCTCCGCGCATCACGAGTAAACCTCTCCCCAAGTCTTGATGCAAGACCAGGCTTCCATTTGGGATTTATCTCCGTGCTTGCCTTCGCGTCCTCCCCGTGGCTACTGAAGGTTTTCCCGCAACATTTTTTGTTGTGGATTTTTTTTTTCGGCATCCATTCTTTCTCTTCCAGCATGTTCGGCATTCTGTTATTTCGTTGATCGCGCTCCGGCGAAGTTTTTCTGGGGTCTAGTGCCCCGTCTCACCAGTTTTGAGTTCCGGCGTCGATGTACCTTGTGAATTGTGCTTTGTCAGTACAGATCGTGTACTTATAAAACTCGAGAGAAAGAAAAACCGGGCGCGAGGGGCTCTCTCTCTCTCTGGGCCAACCCGCTCTCCAATGCCATTCTACTATTCCCATTATTCTCCGTGCCTTCACCATGTCGTCGTTTCGCCGTCGGTTTACTCCCCTCCCACCCCCCCCCGCCCCCCCCCCTCTCTCCCCCTCCCCCAACCCCACCGCTCTTTCCGCCCCCCCTCCCTTCCCGCATTCGCACTCGCGCTCTTTCGATCGCTCCGTCGCGTGCCAGCTTGCAGTTTGTCAGTGTTCGGGGTGCGGCCAGAGGCGCTGCACTACTCCATCGATGCACACGGCACCGGCGTTCCCACCATCCTCCTGCTGCTGCAGTCCAGACTCTACCAACTCCACGGCCTCTCTGTAAACTCTTCCCCCCTCCCCTCCCTCGCTTTTTCTCACGCTCGGACACACGTTCGCACTCTCCCTCTCGCTCTCGCGTTTGCTTTCCGTACTCGCACTCCCATGCCTCCCCTCGCAACATGCGACATGCGACATGCCCTCGCGACTTCTGCAAGTGACGGCTGTGATGGACGGCTTTGATGGCGCGGCGGAGATCATGTGTGTGCGTCTGTGAAGGGGTGTGTGGATAGGTGTGCCTCTCTGGTTTCTGTTTCTTCATGAGTTTGTGATTCTCAGCTGCGCGGCAGATGCTAACACGGGATAGTATGAGCATGTGGACAGTGAACGTCATAAGCAACGTGGGAAGGCTGAAATTGTGGCCTTGGACAGGAGTTGGAACATGTGGTGTCATCTCTGGAAGTACGTGTCACTGTTGTAAACTAAGTGTTGTAATTCTGTAGGTGTTGTCTCATAAACGTAATGCAATGTTGTTGTTGTAACATGAAGCGTGTCCTGCGGGTCAGAAGTTTCTCGCGCCGGTTACCAAGACGGACGCACATACGCCGAACGCATTTAATGACTATAGTCCGGCTACTCCCGCCCCGAATTGTACAAGCCCTTTTTGCCCGGTGTTTTGGCCGGAGGATACATGCACGCACCGCGCCAAAAAAATGCGTGCCTGTATCGTTAAACAGGTGTACCGTCACTCCGCACAAAAAAACAAGCACACATGTCGTTTCAAACCTTGTGACATGATTGAATATATGGGTGTACTAGCAGGAGGGCGCATTTTTACGCACCACGCAAAAGTCCCACCCTGATTCTGCTTCAAAGGCTGGACAACAATGCTAGGGACACGACACAGATAAGCTTCGTTTGCAGAAGCCTCACCCAGTACTGGCACCCTGCAAGGTGTGATGCGGTATTCATTTCTGTTGCTGTTACCAGTTCTCACATAAAAAGTGATGGCCTAGAAGCTCATATTTAATAAATAAAAATAAAAATAAAAAAATAAAAAAAAGTCGGTGACCTACACCAATACTAGACAGCACGCTTAAGCGCCGGGGGTGAAGTTGGTGGCATACGCCCATGCGTTGTTGATGGTGGGGTCAGCCAGGTGGTCCGACAGGTTCTCCAGTGGGCCCTTGCCCGTGACGATGGCCTGGACGAAGAAGCCGAACATCGACACCATGGCGAGGCGACCGTTCTTCAGCTCCTTCACCTTCAGCTCGGCGAGCGCGTCGGGGTCGTCAGCCAGACCCAGGGGGTCGAAGGCACCGCCGGGGTACAGGGGGTCCTCGACCTCCTGGAAGCCCTCGAGGCCACCCACGCGGTAGCTCTCGACGGCGCCCATGAGGATGACCTGGCACGCCCAGATGGCCAGGATGGACTGCGCGTGGATCAGGCTGGGGTTGCCCAGGTAGTCCAGGCCGCCCTCCGAGAAGATCTGCGCGCCGGCCTTGAACCACACGGCCTCGCCGAAGTTCACGCCGTTGCCGGCGAGCAGCTCCGGGGTGAGGCAGCCGAGAGCACCGAGCAGAGCCCAGCGAGCATGGATCACCTGAGAAAAAAGAAGGGCACGTCACGGCGTGTGGGACACTAATTCAGAAGTACTTCGAAATTCAAAAGCTCGGAAACGGCGAAAAATCCCGACTGAAAGATATTAGACGAGGAAGGGAAGGGGAAAGCACCACGACTGAATTTCGCAACGGAATCTTGTGGTTTGCTTCAAAGCAGACCGACGTACCTCCAGCTCGCGGTTCTTGGCGAAGGTCTCGGGGTCAGCGGACAGACCCGCGGTGTCCCAGCCGTAGTCTCCGGCGTACTCGCCGGTGAGGTACGACGGGGGGGAGGAGTACGGGCCCAGGAACAGGCTGCGGTCGGGGCCGTAGAACTGGCTGCTGGAAGCCGCCTTGGCGGTCTTCCTCATGGTCACGCGGGCCTCGACATTGTTCACCTTGGCGGCAAGCTCAGTGCTCTGGCCGACGAAGGTGGAGGGGAGCACAGCGGCGTTGGCGAGAGCGGCCATTGTCGGCTGCGGAAAAAACAACTGAGAAGTTGCGAGAGGAACCTGGGAGAGTGAAGTCTGCTGCCGGTGACTGCTGCTGACTTGAAAATAACGAAAAGGATGGCGGTATTTGAATGGCAAATTTGTCAGGGGCGCAGCGGATGGGCGAATCGGATGGGCGGAGTGCAAGGGGGAAATTGGGGTGAGGTGGATGGTGTCTGGGAGTGGGGGGCGGGGGGTTTGTGGGTGGGGGGGGGAGGGGGGGTGCGGGGAGGTTCGGGAGGATTACGGGGAGGATCATGAGGATGTGGGGATGATGGGGTGAGGAGGATGACGTTGGTGTTGGGCACTGTGGGGTGGGAGGCTGTGTGTGTGTGCCCATTGTCCAGGGATTGGGTGAGAGGCTGATTGGCTGTGTGTGCCTCGGATTCGCTGGGGATCACTCGAAGCGACTCTTGGGTGTCTCAGGATTGGCTGATTTCGGGCCTGATGACAAAGCGCGTGATGGATTTGCGTGCGCGACACGCGCAAATTATCCCGTCGCTTGATCGCGCATCTGGGTAATCGTGTTCTACCAATGGCGGACGTTGAGGTGGTCTCATCCCCAGATGGGTTATGCCAGGCGAGTTGGTAATGCCCTTATTGCTTTCTCTGGTGTGGTGCAGCTTGATTCCTTCTACCAGTTGATACAAAAACTCTAATAGCCCTTAGCCGATTGTACTAACTACAATGAACATGTTGCTAGGATTCGAACTCTTTTCATTTCAGCAAGTTAGGAATTCATTATTCTCAAAAGCTTCAATGCAATATGGTGTCAACATGAATGAATGATCAATACAAGTGGAACAATGGAGATATATGCGTTCTGGTTGTACCCTCTAACAACATACAACTATCAAGCCTATAAATTCTACATAGCAACATACCGTATTCCCCCTGATATACGCGCAGGGGTGCGTTTAGGGATTATAGTCTAATTTTGGGGGTTGATTTTATTCGAATTTTTGCGATATGGCCCAGTTGCTTTTAAAATGGTTTTTTTTTAGAAAATAATAAACGGCATCAAAATGTACTTCAAACAGCCGCCAATCCAAGGCATGTTTTTGCAGCAGCGAATACAACAGAGATCCGTATGAAACTGGTCTGGAAACATCGAACCAGCCAGGCGTCTGTGGACGCTGCCAAACGGACCAACCACGAGCACTGCGGTGCGGACGTTGTCACAGCTCAAGTGTTGGTGATGTTGCGTTGGAGTTATTGTGCGAATATGCTGTCTGGCGGTCCAATAGCAGCCACATGCCCAGCGGGCAGCATCCAGCAAGGGGAGCTGGAAGCTCCAGAAGAATCTGTTTGCAGTTTCGTGCTGCCACGATGGTGCCCTCGCAGCTCGGAAAGGAAGAGGAATCCTCTTCGTGCACCATCATGGGCTGCACGAGGAGGAATTCCACGCTGAGGAATTGGGGAACACCCTGGTTGAAGCTTCATTATTTCAGTAGCTTCTCGACCAAGCGTCTTCATGCGTCCTCTCTCGCTAGGCCGCCGCCATGGCTGGCCTTCCACCCACAGCCATGCATGTACTGTTCGGTAGCCCTGGTACACCAACACGCCTCTCTAGACAGGACATAGCTGCTGCACGAGTTAGTAGATTTAGTGGTTTCCGTGCTGCACCCTTTGCACCTCTCGCGCCGCCCGCTCCTCCTGCTCCTCCCACTCCTCCCGCTCCCCCGGCTCCTCCTGCACCGCCAGCACCTCCGGCCCCTCCGGCGCCCTCTGTTCCTGGGAGCTCGCGACCATGGTCTTTGTGGTTGCCCTTGACGGAGGTCGACCGAGTTCCTGTTCTGACGTTACTGCTGCCCGGCGACCCGTTCCCGCCCCAGCCCGACCGATGCGACGTGGAGAGTATCTCGGACGAGGAGGAGGCTCTCGAATCCCCGCGCGCTCGCGACTGGGGGATTCCCAACGGTGACGACTGGCCGGAGCGCGACCAGTGGAAGGAAATGGATGAGGAGGAGGCGGAGTACTGGCACTGTGACGGGCTGTCGAGAAGCTGCCCATCCCAACATTCCCCGAAGGTCGGAGCCGCCCTCATCCAACGACAACAAATTTCGACAGCCGCCCTCCCTCCCCCAGATCCCGGATGACATAGCGCAAGCGAAGGGCGTACACTTCTCAGGAGAAGCTGTATTGGCTGGAGCGATGGCGTGCGCTCGACAGGAACCGGCGAGCTGTGCAGCGCAATTCGGGCATTTCGCGCCGTCAAATTCGAGAGTGGGAGCTCGCGGAGGACAAGCTGAAGAAAGCTGCCTCGTGCCGCAAGCGACTGCATGGCCATGGGTGCCGCAGCTGGTACCACGACATGGAGCTTCTCGTGTATGACAAGTTCCTAAAAGACCGCGCGAAAGGGACGCCTGTACCTGTGAAGAAGCTGCAGAAGTGGTCGAGGGAGCTGATGAAGACTATGCACCCCGGCGTGAAGTGGATGGCTTCATAGCGATTGAGCACTCGCTTCAGGAAACGATGGGGCCTCACTGTTCGGGCCCGCACGAAGGTCGGCCAGAAAATGACCGAAGGTAAGGCTGACACGTACAGTATATGCCTCCTTTGCCTTGCAACCTCAAATGTTAATTCTGGAACTGTTGAAACTTGTTTCAATGCTAATTTCATCGACTTTTCTTGCACGTGAACGCAGAGTGCAAGGAACAAGTGGAGTCCTTCTGGCAATTCTGTCATGATGCGAGGAGGGGCTACTCGATTGACGATCGCTGGATCATCAGCGCGGACCAGACGCCTGTCTAGTTGGAGATGCCAGCTGAGCGGACCGTGGAGCAAGTCGGGGTGAACTCGGTGCCAATCAAGACAGCGAGCTATCACAAGGAACGCGTTACTCTGATGCTCGTTTGCACGGCCACAAGCGAGAAGCTCAAGCCGTGGGTCTTCTTCAAGCGTGCGATCGTACCCAAGGGAAATTTCCCTCCCAGTAAGCTTTATTCATGCGCTTCGAGTTATTTGTGTATGCCTTTCCATGATTTTTAAGATTTTACTAACGGATTCTATTCCGACCATGTAGATGTCGTGGTAGCCGCCCAACCAAACGGATGGATGGACTCCGCTGGTGTCATAGAGTGGCTTGAGAAGGCGGTCAAGCCGTTCATCAAGCCCAACTTCGGCCTCCGTGCCCGCTCTGCTCTCCTCATCCTGGATTCCTACCACGGTCATCTCACCCCTGAAGTGAAGGACTTCTACGGCAAGCTTTACGTGGTGCCCGGCATCATCCCTGCCGGCTGCACCTCCGTCATACAACCGCTCAACGTGGCCGTGAATCGCAGTTTCAAGGCGCTGTTTCGCTCGTACTACCAGGAGTGGTTCGACCGTGTCGGCTGCATCATCTTCAACCCCAAAGGTTAGCTTGTTCAATGTTGCTGTGCCTGTTATGCTCCATCTTCACACAATAACTAATGGTGTGTTCTTTGTCTGCTTCAGGAAATCAGAGGAACCGCCACCAGAGGAGACCCTGAAATGGGTCTCCAAGGCGTGGAAGGCTGTCCCTACCGACCTTATCCATAAGGCATTCAAAACCTGCGGCATCTCGAATGCCCTGGATGGCTCCGAAGACTACTTATGCCTGAGGCGCATGAGAGACCCCAAGGAGGCCACCGTGGATGTCAAAGATGAGAACGGGACCAACGGATTCACGGGGGACAACTCCACCACAGCTGAGGAGGAAGAGGAGGAGGAGGAGGAGGAGGAGGAGGAGGAGGAGGAGGAGGAGGAGGAGGAGGAGGAGGAGGAGGAGGAGGAGGAGGAGGAGGAGGAGGAGGAGGAGGAGGAGGAGGAGGTCGATGACGAGGAGGGTTGACATGAAGGGGAGAAGGGAGTGCACGTGGACGACGCGACGACTGTAGCACATGGTAGACGGGGCGAAACTCATAGAAATTGGAGGCTGTGCATCTGTTTAGGTAGTCGGGGTGTAGGCTGTAGAGCATGGTAGATGATCTAACTCTAGAAGTTGACTAATATAGATGTGACTTTTTACATCTAAATACAAAGCGAAGTTGTCTTAATGAACTGTTAATTCATGAAGTCGAAGCTATTTGGAGGGGGGTGCTTATAGGGATTAGAAACCTGTGATTATACGAGTGTGTATAAATGGCACCTCCGATATGGCACCCGTCCGGATATACGCACCATGGTGCGTTTTAGCCGGCGGTGCGTATATCCGAGGGAATACGGTATGTAAAAGTTGACAAACCCCCTATGCTAGATAAGGGGTAGTGCAGAGCAAGAAACACACAGCTCAGGGTGGCACTACTTGTCCAACCTCTGAGGGAGGGGTCCAAAGACCAGTTAGCAAGAGTACAAACAAGTCAAGTGCAAACCAGGGCGGCACTACTAGTCCGACCACTGGAAGAGTAGCCACAAGGCCAGTCTGGAAGGCATAAATATAGAGGATTACGCAATCAAGGTCCTAGCAAGTGAGAGTCTTTTTGAACTAGACCTAGTTGCAAGCAGTGCCGCTGATGGTTTTTAGGCGCAAGCGCCTTAGTAAAGATATCAACTGTGTTGGCACCGGAGGCCACGTATACTACGCGGGCCTGGCGACGCTGCTTCGCTCTGCCCTCAAGTCGAGGCTCCCGACACAGGAAGATCATGGCCCTGTTGTCAGCTTTGGGCAGAGCTAGGCTGCTCACCTAAGTCGGCGAGCAAGAAGGTCAACCAGCGGAGCTCCTGTGCCACCATGACACCAGCGTAGATCTCAGCCTCACAGCTAGACTGGGCAACAGAAGAGGAGCGAGTGGACCTCCACGAGATGGCACCCGTGCTGAGACATGTGACGCAGACGCGGGAGCGCGGGGTGACCTAGGCGGTGGTGCCACAGAAGCGACGGGTGAGTGAGCGACCGACACGAGCAAGCCGCAGCATCCTGGATAGTCGCAAGACCTGGGGAGGACGCGACCACCAAGGGGGAAGTAGTGTCCAGTGTAAACAGACCAGACACCAGGTCCCGGGGAAACGTCGCAAGGGGGGCACCTGAGGCGGTCTCTGTACAGACAGCGAACCGCTCGTGACCAGGGAACGTAGTGGTGACGCCGAGGTCTTGAAGACAGCTGACACCAACTAAGTTCTTGGAGAATGAAGGGATGTGCAGGCCAATAAGGGAACCTGAGGGAATCGCCGGACAGGGAAAGGTAGTGGAGCTCCGAGCAACTACAGGGCCAGAGGAGGGGTCAGCAAGTGCGACAGCGGCAGGCGCGGCAAGCGGCATGATGGCAGAATGGTCGCGGAAGCAGCAGGCTGGCGCATTGGAGTCAAGAGTGAAGGACATCCAAGGCGTAGTGGCAGACGAAGGAGGAGCAAGTGTAGAGCATGGGCTAGACAAAGCAAGCTGTCCTACGCCTGATGCAGCAGGGGAGTCTAGACTACATACAGGTGCTACGCTTAAGCTAGATAACACAGGGTAATAAGATCCAGAAACAATCGAAGTGTCAGCATACAGAGAATGCAGGGCATGACTAATCTGATCCATGTCTAAGTCAAACACATGCACACCGTGGCGCAGCAGACTGGACCAGTTTGGGAGGTCCGAGGCTGGACCGAAGCAGCGATGGAAGAGGTCGTCGAGGCGGCGGAAGCAGCGGGCGGTCGAGTGCAGGCTACGGCACACCGTGCCAAGGAGGGGCCCGGTCTAGAGCTGGTACTGGCAGCTCACAACACCGAAGCCACCGGTGGACGCCAAGATGCGAGGGCCACCACCACGACCACCACCTCCAGGGGCTCCTGGTGTGAGAGTACGACCCCGTTATACCAATTTCCATTTTCTATATCTCCTTTCTATTTCATTCCTCTTTTTCTCTCATCTCATTTGGTTTGCTATTTCTCCTATTCCATTATCCTTTGGTTTATCCTGTTATTATAATTATATTACCGACCAGGCTCGGGATGCACTAGCGCGCCACATCTAGCGTAATCCTGCCGTAATCCCTTAACACCAATAGCCTCGCGTGGCTATACGCAGGGTGATTCTATTTCTACAGGGGACTATTCCATTTGGATAGGATAAACATGGTTACCTGATGTACTCTTCAATCGATAGTGCAACTTTTCCTCGACACATTCGATCCAGTGACACTTGGTAATCAGAGCTTTTCTCACTCGGCCGCGCTCAGCTAAGCAGAAGCAGCGTGAAAACCTACTTCGAAAAACCGCTAGGGGCGACTCATTCGGCGCCGATTCTGGTAAGCACCAGCTCCGCGTTTTTTTAATCCACCCCCCTGTGCGTGTTTTGAATAGGATGGCGAACTTCAACAACTTCGGGGTTACCCAGCTGCTCTTCGCGAGCATCGCCGCCCTTCAGGAGGAGATGCGAGCCGATTGCGAAGCTTGGCGAAACGAGTTCGAGCGAGTAACTCGACTCGCCGGCGCACAGCACGACACGTTAACGGCGACGACGCAGCAATCGCAACAGTTTCTCGAGGCTCCAAAACCGAGCCCACCTGAGCCGTTCGATCCGAGCGATCGAAATTCCGACGTCCGCGAATGGATCGCCGTCATGGAGATCTACTTCGCAGTCGTCGGATGGAGCTCGCCAATCTGGGACGGTCAACGTGCACGACTCGTGGCGACACTGATGCGAGGACTGGCACTCGAGTGGATCGGCGGCAACAGCACCTTCATCCACGGCAAAGCCACGTGGCAGCAGTTCCGCACCGACCTGCTGAAACGTTTCGAGCCGATAAATTCAGGTTTCCTTGCCCGGGAAAAAATCCATCGCCATCGACAGTTCGGGAGTGTAGCGCAGTACACGCGGCAGATGGAGGAATTTTATAACCGCATTCCAGATCTGACCGAAGGGCAAAAAGTACAGTCGTATCTCGCCGGGCTGAAGACCGAAGTCAAACGACAGGTAGCAGCGACAAATTACGCGAGCTACTGTGACGTCGTATCGGCTGTAGAGTGGTTTGACATGGTCAACGCCGGAACACGACGGTCTCACATCGGCAGTACGCGACAGGGCGACCCCTCGGCTCACACTACGTTCGCCGACCCGATGGAAATCGACAGGTTCGACGGGCGGCCACGTCCGAAAAATACCAACTACACGTGTGATTTTTGCGGGGTGCCGGGCCATCGAATCTTCGACTACAACAAAATGAAAGCCGCACGCGCAGAGTATCGGGCTCGCAACAGTGGCGGAAATTCTTCGGCCAATCTGAAGACAAAAAGCAGAATTCGCTAGTGATCGCGGATCTAGCTGGCGAAAAGGAAAAGATCCGAAAACAGCTGCGGGATTCCAGAAAAATCAACTTCAACAAAGCTGATTCGACGCGAGCAGGAGGAAATGATGGGGAAAAATCTCCACCCCACGACCAGTCTTCGCCAGAGAAAATCGCCAAGGAAAAATTTGACTCTGCGAAAATGGACTCTGCCGAGACGGGGAAACTCCGAGAAGACCCAAGAAATTATAAGGGTTCGTTAAAGTTATCTTATAAAGATGCTTTAATGAAAACTTATGATTTTCGAAGGGCTAGAGCCTCGGAGAAATTTCGGGAGGGACTCCAGAAGAAGCAGAAACTTGTGGAGATCATACCGGTACCAGAAACCTTGGGGACAAAATTAAGGAGTATGGAAAGAAGCCGACCTTTCCACGGAGTCAACGTCCTCTTCTGACACTAGCCCACAATGACTACCCGTTCCCCAGGGAAGACGTCGGTGGAGCTGAAGCAGCTCAAGAGGAAGCTGGGGGTCTATAGGAAGCTGCAAAAACCCCGAACTCCTTCTTCGGATGCATCCAGCTCAGCGAATTCGGCATCAACGATACACACAGTCGTCAAAGAAACTCTGGGCCCTGGAGAAGAACCCTTCTCCAAGCAGCCTCGGCCAGCTGCCAGCTAAGGAGTAGTTAGCAACAAAAAGGTGTGTACAGATTATTGGGATGTACCCTATGATCCTATCAATGAGAATATCTTTGGTTACTCCAAGCAATGCTTGCCCCTCGTGCTCGAGGTCATATGCAAAGGACGACGCCTCCAAGCACTCATGGACATCGGAGCATTGCACACCATCTACAACAAGGCAATAATTGACCGACTCCGGGAAGAGTACAAGCCTTCAGCATTCTCTGCAACGATAGTGGACGGCAGCAAGTTACCTGTACACGGCGAAGCAGTGTTACACCTACAAATTGGACCACTGCACTGGAGACCTGCACTCCCCATCACCAACATAAAAGGGCTTGACTTGATCTTCGGGCAAGACTTCCTAAAAATATTTAACCCCGAGATCAACTGGGTAAATCGCACCGCAAGCATCTACAACAACGGAAGGAGAGTCGAGCTACCCAAATGGGACGATACAGGAGATATCCCAGTGGAGACACTCGCAAGGTTTGAGAAGGACGTAAAGCGCACCGACACCGGATTCCTGGCGATAGCGACAGAGGTGGAGAATGACGGGGAGAAAGCCTCGGAACCTCCAGAAAAAATCAAGGAATAACTTTGAGTTCCAAGACATTCTTCTCGACGACCTCCCGGACGAGCTGCCGCCATACCAAACGCACCAACATGAGATCGTGGAAGAATCCGGTTCGAAGCTGACCTTCCGAGCACCATATCGTCTCAGCCCCACGGAGCTAGCCGACAGGTTGAAGCAGATGGAGTATCTCCTCGCCAAAGGACTTATCCGACCATCCACTTCGCCATACGGTGCCCAAGTACTCTTCACACCGAAACCGGACGGAAGCCTACGCATGTGCATTGATTACCGAGCTCTCAACAAGCAGACCATAAAAAACAAATACCCGATTCCAAGAATCGATGACCTGCTTGACCAGCTTCGGGGAGCTACGTTTTTTTCCAAACTAGATCTGCGGTCCAGATACTGGCAGATACAGATGGCAGACAATTCCATCCAC